AGAGAGAGAGAGAGAGAGAGAGAGAGAGAGAGAGAGAGAGAGAGAGAGATTACTGGTAATAATCAATTGATTTGATAACATCGCTAATTGTCTCGCATTGTGTGTAATACATATAATAATAGGGTTTATTGATACGTGAATTATTAATCCCATTATTGTCTTTAACATTAAATTTATAAAAAGCTTTTGGTGTCATTGCATAGCATTCATCAAAGATATCGCTATAATTGTAAAGCATTTCAAACTGTTGTCTAATCGTATAGTTTTGCATCAAATCTCCCACAATATATGCCAACTCATTGTCTCGATCTTCACTTGTATTGACCAACAATTGTCTCCTAAACTCATCCCTTAAGACATGGTATTTATCAAAACAGACAGTCATTGCCGGCAAAGAAATAACGGAATATTTATTGTAATTAACAGTTGTTGTGGTTTTGTATGAGAAATATATGTTACATATTAATGAGATTTGATACAAACACACTGTTAAACACATTAACGTAAATATTTTATGAAACATCTTAAATTCTTTTGAATGCTTTGTGCAAAAAATTTAGTTATGAAAGTATATTAAATATACAAATTTTGTTAAAATTCAAACAGATATCTACATATAACTTTACGGTATTATTTATAGTTATAAACTAAATCAAAAATTAATTGAATAGTAAAACTAATAGAAATTATAGGTATGACAATATATTTGTTGTATTCAAAACCTGGTAAAAAACAAAACAACAAAATAATTATATATAACATGTATAGTTTAATCGATTTATATTTAAAGAGTAGATTAGCAGGAAAATACCATCATATCAATACAAAACCGTTATTAAATTCTTCAGGGTCTTATGAGCAATTATTTTATTTTATTTTAGATTATACAATATTGATAATTAAATTTGTTTTTGTTTATTTCTATTTACTACATTGTCATAACCAAGGTAAAATCTCATTTTAATTATTGACAAAATAACACATATTATTTATAAAGTATACTTACTTAATTGGTTCATCTTATTATAACATTTAAAAACAACTAATTAAATTATACAAATCATTTAATTATTTTGTTAATTAATGAAATTAATTCTAATTTTCAATGAAATTACATTGTTTTATAATAAAATTTATAATAATCAAAGTACATGAACACATTATTAAAATTATTAATTTTGATAAAACCAATCCACCAAATTGGGAAACATTTAATGCATACAAAGTGGGCACCAAATCAGGTGCGGCACTAACGGCAACAATAACATCGGCCGCCGACTGCACAGCACTGGGGGTACGGACCGGAGCAACAGTATATCATCGCACAGGGACTCGAACACGTATAGCAACCATTTGAATCACCTTGCTCAATCGATGTGGCATTAAGACCTGAATTTGTTAAATGAATGTTAATTAATATTTTTAAATATACTATAATATATTAATAATTTAAAAATAAATTACCTTCGATATAGTCGTTGAACTCATCAACATCCTTTAGCATGGGAATGGAAAATGGTTGATCTACATGCTTAAATTCACCTTATGAATTGATCAATGTTAACCATGGTCATAATTAAAACATATTAATACTTACCAATTGTGAACATCACTAAAACCATAACAATTAAGGCAATCACTGAACGCATTGTTAGTTACGGTAGTTTTTATAAAACTTATTTTCAGTTAAAACTTTTACTTTTAGTTTTGATTATGAGTTAATTGTATGTAATTTTACCTCTTTATATACAAAACTGATATTGTTTATTTATTGACATAGTGTATTTATCAATTATGTGAGCTTGTTTGAAATTAAGAAGCATCCTGGTGAAGGTCTGTATTTATTAACAAATATTTGTTTAATTTTATATTAATGGTAGAAAGTGTTAATTGATATCAATATACTAAATTATCACCACGCTTATTATTATCTCAAAACATCAAGGTGGTCTAATAGACTTACTATTTATATTGATAATAGTGTTACGGCAATCGTATTAATACATAAAATGATAATAATTATTGTATAATATTATTTGTTAAAAATATTACATTTGTTTTATTTGTATATAAATCCGGTGTCAAAGACATTAATATCTATTAATCTATTTATTTAATTACATAATCAATAAATAAAGATTATATAATGAAATACTTTCTAATTGCATGACATATAGTTTCTAATATTATTTATTAATTATAATTATTTTTCAATTTTTGAGCCAATTTTGTGGTCAACAGAAAGAATCGGATGAACAGCAAAAACATCTAAATAAATACAAATACAAAATATTAATAATACTTAATTTAAATGAATAAACATTTACTTTAAAGGCAACACTTCTGGTGATAACGTATTGATTACTACACGAAAAGCCAATCAATTTATACTTATTGCTAACTCTTTCCATACAATTAATTAACTATAAAAGTAATAATTAAACAAAATTACAATTAAGACTATTAATAATAGAAATAAAAAGCAAAACATACTTTAAGTTTATTTTTAACATTACGGGGGAAATCATTGCAATAGAAATAATTTTTAATAATCGCCTTAAAAGTCATGGAAATTGCAATATTAATATCAGATATGATAACATTCAACACAAACATCGAGCACAATGTGGTCGACATGAATACGACATATAAAATCTGGGTGAAAATTAGCGGCTTTTCAAACAGGTAAATGTGTAATAACGTGGTGTTTATCGGTATCATTGAGTAGCAAAACACGAGGTAAATATTGGACCAAAATTTATTATGCTGGCCAATGTCCATGCACAATTTATTATGAGTTTTAACTACTTTATATACTATGCGCCGCTTAAACAGGTGACCGCTTACAGTCGAATCCGATAAATACTTGTTATAACTCATTATACGGTACTTTACATACAGACAGACCATTAGGTAGTAGTATATAGTGAACCAAAATGTTGGAAAACATGTCGATAAAAATGATTCAAACAATAATACACTAATCACTCCATAGATAATTAGATGAAGCGAAAAAAATTTGACCATGATGAAAGTCACGCCCACTGCCCATAACGCCGTTAATGCCATATAAAGGCTGTATTTAATTAACAAATACAATGTTTTAATTGTTTTGTCAAACCTTTTGGTGATATAATCGTCATTTAATCCAATCTTTTTATAACTAATATATCCATTGAGTGATGAGATGATGTCAAACCATTTATAGTGATTGGGATTACTATTGTTAATGATTAGGATTATGGCTATGGATAGTAAGAGTACGAGACTACCCGAGAAATACAACACATCGGGATTATCGCTAAAATATTGGATTATATCAAAATAGTTAATCGGAAAGTGTTGTTTTGGCTTTGATTTATATAGGTAAAACGCGAATCGCATAATATTGCATATGTGTACAATAATTAGAGCAAATACTTTAATTTTTTGTTTATAATATATACTACGGCTCACTATTTTACCGTTGATATCAAACCGGTAAAACATTGCGTACTTATAAAGTGATAATTCAATATCATTTGCGCCAAATTAAGCCATATCTGGCTTTATATGGTTTTTATCAAGATGATTATAAGATTTATTCATTATTGACGATCAAGGTTGCGATTGTAATTTCCTAACTTTTCTAACTTAACAATTATTTTCAAACTCTAAGACTCTATCAAATAGTACATTGTAAGTACATTAAGACTTATTTGTTGGACCAAGTTCGTACACTTGTTTGCAATTAATTAGACAGTTAGGCAATTATTGTACAGTACATGCAGTATTAATTATTTTTACTAATTGTTAATTATGAGATAACTATTAAACTATAAATATATTTAAATATTAAATGATCAAAATTAGATATACTACATATGTACAGGTATACTTATGCACAGTAGTTCAATGTTATCAATTTTAATATCATTTGGGAACTCGTTTAATTATATTGACACAACTGTACTAGTGCAATAGCAGCTAATTAGTTTCATTTAAAACAATAATTTTATTTAATAAAATAACTTTATTAATTAAAATACGAGCATATATTACACTTGCAAATTTAAAAATAGATTACATTTTATAAATATAATATGAAATAATTATTAAGTGTGTTTTGCAATACATAAATATAATAATTATAATTATAACAATTGTTGATTTTAATATTTAAAAAACTAAGTAATGGTATTAACTCTACGTAAAAACTTGTTGACATTTGATTGACGATTAAACATATTATTATTTAGATTTATAGTAAGTGTGGGACTATTTATAACAGTATTAGAATAATTTAGATTAAAATAAACGACACATTTTTGACAAACAATTTTAAAACATTTGTGCAAAACATTTGACAACATTATGACAGAGAAACCAAACCATAGACTAACATAGGATGCAATGTATGAGACAAACTCCTCAAAATGTACCATGGGTGAATGCGTGTAGATTAGAGCTGGAGTGTGGGGCTCATACAATATGATATAATTAAGGGGAAAAGTGAACGAGAAGGTTTTGAAAATGGGTTCATACATCACTTGCCGGCACTCGTCTTTCATACCGCAACGGAGCCGACATTTACGGCCCATTGTATAATCAATACTCATATTTTGTCTAACAAAATAATAAATGTCATACATTTTCATATCCAATGACTGATTATATGACAAGTAATTTCCGGGCCATATATCCGGCCAGAGATCCCTATTTAAACCAATTCGACACTTTGTGAAGCAATCAGTTAACGATTTATAACCAATTGTTTTATATATTAAACAATCGGTTTCGTAGGGTTTGGGCAATGAATTAATGATAATCTTGTTGTACGTTAAGTAGTGTTTGGTTGCATTATATATGGGACTCTTTGGGTATTCATTTAAGTGAGATTTATATGTGTTTCTTATCAATTGATCCCTCGGATGAACGCTAAGACGAAATCTTGGATTATCTATAAGTAAGCGCACAAACATTACATCAGTCTTGAAATCTTTGTTTAACATAATATTCTCGATCTCAAAGTTGTCATTGGATTTGCCGTTTGATTGAGAGAATAATGTAAAACACATTCTATAATAAAATATTACAATTAATTTCATGTAATTAATAAGTATTTATGAAAGAAAGAATAAAAGAAAGAAAGAGAGAGAGAGAGAGAGAGAGAGAGAGAGAGAGA